ATTAAATTCATAAATTTCACTATAATTTAACTATATTCTTTTCAAAATTATTTTTCACATTTTTTCATTTTATTTTTCATGTTTCAATTAAGCTATAACAAGGATTATGTTACTTGAAGAAATTATCTTTCAAATATTAACATATCTAAATGGTAAACATCTCCAACAAAAACAATCAGTTCTAAAGTGTCTAATGTTATGTCATTAGAATTACGTTCATTAGAGTATGAATACTGATACGGCTGCTAAGTACTTAAGTATGTTTGCCCAGATATAAAAGTTATATAAAAAAAAAATCAACCTTATATTTGATTTTTGAAAATAAACTAACAAACCTGTTTTAGATAGGGCTTCCTTATGTATGATGTTTTTGTTTTTCCTTCACTGGCAAGGATAAATAGGCCCTTATGGAAAATACTTAGATTATCTTATACATGTATGAGTACCCGTTCTGGCAAACAGGAGAAGCCTAGGTCTATTCCCCCATCCCCCCTCCTCAAACATTAAAATTTCAAACATAAATATGTATATAATATTATATTGAATTTGCTTTAATGTAAATTTAATATATTTTTTTATGAATGTGATACCGCATTCACATTATGACATTGATGTATGAAATATACTACAAACATGAGGTTAACTATATGATGCATTAGTAGATATATGTAGTTAATGATCAATAATTAAACAGGCCTATAATGATATATTCCAAATTGAATGTTAACTCAAACTTACCAAAAAATGTCAAGTCTGCATCAAATTTATTTGTGTAATGTTTATGTTAATGATAAAATTATCAGTTCAGCTAGCAGATGACAGACATGTATATCAATGGAAAATTGTCATTTTGCACACCTTCACACGAGGGAAGTGCGACCTGTGCAGTGAAAGTGGTGGACAAACAAGCAAACAAACAGAGAGATTTTGACTTTTATATATAGATTAGAAAAACTTAAGTTTAAGATCTAATTTAAACATTGGATTCCACCACTAACATAGAAACAAAGTAATTTATGAGCTAGCTGCAAATAGCATCAAGATACTACTTAATAAAACATGTTAAAAATTTCAGAAAATATACTGCAAAAAATTGTGAAATTACAAGATTTGACCTTTATCTCTTTTCATAATTCTGAACACTACTTAAAAATCGGTTTCATATTTTTTTTTAAATTAAAATGTGTGACATTGGTATCATACACGTTTCAAGTACTCTGAGATAAGCCAAACTTTTCTTACCAGCACTGAAACTAGCTTTCCATCCTGAAGCTGTGTGTAGAGGGTTACTCTTGAAAAACAGGGTCATGTGACCTGAGCTTGCTGTTAGAGTTAAAGTAGGTAGAGCTCTACCAGAAAAGCCACTAGCTGGATGAAGTTTAACACCTTGTTCTGCACTTGTCCCATCAAACACCTAGAGGTGCAGTTTCAGAAACATCAATAAAATAAACTGTACCAAAGAAAACACTATCCCCTTATTTTACTTGGAATAATGTGCAGAGAAACTGGATTTTGTAGTTAAATTAGAAGAGAAACATCTAACAACTGATACAGATCACCATTAATACATTACAACTTTGCAGAAAATGTCCTAACAGACAAATTTCAAAAATCATAAATAATATTCAACGTTAAACTGGTACACAATTTTATTTAGGCCTATCTATGGCCTTCAAAAAGTTGATGACAACATGTTTCGACGTTACAACGTCATCCTCAGTAATGTCGAAACATGTAGAGTCGTCAACTTTTTGAAGTCCATAGATAGGCCTAAATAAAATTGCTTACCAGTATTACGTTGAATATTATTTATGATTTTAACTTTATACCCAAGTGTCAAAATACTATAAGACAAATTTCAACTTGTTATAAATGAAACTTTAATGTTTCGAAGCTCTCACTAACCATGTAACATAGAAATAATTAAAGATTAGTAAATTCAATACAACTTCAAAAATAAATAGGATAAGTAAGAAGTCATTACTAGTTTTTTTTGTGAAACAAAACTGAACAACTTCACACATCATAAGAGTTAAACCTATATGTGATTACATTTATTAAATATATCATATACATATATATACACACACACCTTATTTTCTAGTAAAGTATGTATAATAAGAACAAAGAAGAGACAGTCTTTAATCATCTGGTTGAATTGGGAAACATACATTATACTTTCACCATGAGCCACATGCATGGCTGATGTTTTCTGAATCAAACTCATTAGTAAAAAAGTATGTGCCTACCTCCACATAGTCATCTTCAATGACATCAAATTCAGTGAACTTTAAAGATATTGATCCACCTTCCGGTCTTGTCACTCTGTATCTGCAAACCTGATTACTTGGATAATTCACTACACCAAATGCAGGGGACGATATGTTTCCAGATGATGCTACCATTTCAACTTCACATCCTTTAATAAAAAACAGATTGTAAATAAAACAATGTTTTACATGGCAAACCATGCACCTGTGGTTGATAGGTCTCATTTTTTTGTATTATTATTATTATTTAAAAATTCACATTTTCCAGAACAAAAATTAATACATGCTTTAAGTGTGTAGCACACAACGAGCCACTTATATTATTACTTATGTACACAACTACTGTTTCCAGTAAGAGGTGTTTGAATGTAAATTACCTGATCTATACCTAATGGCAAAACCTTTCCTGTTATCTCCAAAACTGGTATGAAGATAAAGATATATTTTATTAGATGTTGACATTGTAAATCGAGGAACACTACTTGAAGTTCCAGACAATTTTGACAGCAGAGGATCAGATGGCATTGCTCCATCCCGAACAAGAATGTAATCCTTATTAGGCTCCAAATCCATTTCAACAACCTATATAACAAACAGTATTTACATGTTTACATTCAAATTGCTCTGCATACTTGTTTAGATAGTTATTCATGAATTCAAGTGGACTGGTAAATTAGAATAAAAACTATACAATAAAATAATCAGAAAAATGCAGTTAATAAAAAACAAAAAATCACTAAAGTTTATGTATAAAACTACTGACACATCACATTCTATTCAATAGATATGAAGAGTTTCCAATAAAGATTCAATAATCACTGAACTAACAGCACAGTTGGATTAACATGATTTACCTCTAATGTTATAATTTGGCCTTGGGGTGCAGTGATAAGGTAGACACATTCCAAGCCACCAGGATATGGGTCTGGATACTGTGGTGATGTGAGCAGCTGAGGATTTGATTGAGCAAACAAGGCACCTCCACAGTTGATTGGTTCTGGATTAATAGCATAAACAATTGTGGTTTAATGTCAATATGTTTTGCCCTTCTTTAAGTAAATAAAAAACAAAAATTAAAGGAATCTTGTATGTACATGCACACACACACATAAAGAAATACGATACACACCAAGGGGGTCATTTAATAAATCAAATATGGCATAGACTTTTATAAATTATATTATTAAAATTATTTTTGTATTGGTTTCAGGTGTCTAGGTTACTTTTTAGCTGAAATAATGAGTTATTTTCAACAGATAGAAACTAAAATTTACATGAACTGAAAAAAAAAAGTAATACAACTTTAATAAATGAATTTGAAAATTATTTAACACATTTTATTACAATAACCATATCATATCCTCACATATACTACAACATTAATATAAGATCAGATTCATCAAGATAAATATGTGTAACTCAACATCACCTGTTAAAGTTATCTTACCTGTTTTCCAACTAGCACGAAAACCCTTCCTCTCAACAGAAGAGTCAGATTTAAATTTTATAATCATGAGATTAGAGCCTGTTACAAAAGGTTGAGAGCTCAAATTTTCTTTTCCTGACAAAGTAATCAGTGAGACACTTGATTCTTCAGTTCGCCCTCCAGCCAAGATTTGAACTGTATCAAAATTTGCCTCTGTTTCAAAATCTGAAAACTGTTGATAATAACAAAGAAAAAAATAACATTAATTTTGATACTAAAATTTACTACACCCCCCCCCAAAAAATAAAACTTTAGGAAAATTCATATTAATTGCTCAAATCTTCATGAAATGAATTTTGTTCAATCTGTTCCCTGGCATGGGTTTCCCATGGGCAAGCAAACCTAATATGGTATTATCAAGCCCAATCAACTAATACTGTAACCTATTTTTTAAAAATGTTTAAATATTCTATTTCTAAGTTTAGCATTTTTCTCTATTTTCATGGAGTTATGAACTTTTATGTCTATTTACTTAACAGACAACAATTATAAAGTTAAATCATCACTATTTATTGTAGGAGAATGTTTAATACATTCTATAAATAGGCATTTACCTCAGTATTATTTAGTCATATTCTAATGTCACTTCCTTTGTTATAGCAACTAATCATTGAACTGAATCATTTTCAGTGTATGTTGTCCTCGAGTTCAATAAACAAATTAACAAAATTTTCTTTAGATTCGCAGATTTCATGAGATGGTTCTTTTATCATTGCCATGATTGAATAAGTCCAATATGGTGCAAAACTTAAAATGGTAATCCAGTCAGAGTAGCCAATTTAGCAGAGATCCTATAGAATGTATATGCAGGTACTTCTTGAATGCCTCACAATACCTGTCAATACTGAATTTCAGCTTTAAAAAAGTGCTGAGGTAGCATATTCAAATAACTGTAAGGTTAAAAGAAGCCTGTGCCTGTGAGGTACAATTGCTAAATATATTCAGAGCCTTTGAAGAATAACTGTATAATTGAAGAAATACGAAATAAGTTGAAATAACTCTCCACAGAGATAGTGGGTTTGATTTGTTCCTGTCTTTCCTATAAAAGACTTGAGATCTATGTGTCACATTTTCGTATATTAAATCTAAGTAATAGTAAGTAAAGGAGGATTTAAAGGGCTACATGAGAAGTGAATGTATTTATTTCATTTGTTCAGAGAACTTATTAGGAATTTTAAATGTTCCCAGGAATTGGACAAACTTTTGAGCTATGATTCACTCCTGAATTTAATTATAAATTCAGTTGTTCATAACCTATCATTACATTAGTCTGATCCCTGTCTTACTTAAGACAACACATGATCAAACAGTAACATATTCATAAAGGTCATATATAAGATAGTTTATCTCTTTAAATCAGTGATCATTGGTAGGTTTAATAGGTGTAAAAAAAACATCTCCAGCTCATCAAAAATTAAATAGTGCCCCCTATTCTGCTTTCCCGAATATTTTCAACCATGTATTATTAGTTATTATACAATATAACTTTTAAACTATGTGTTCACATAGTTAACAAACAATAACAAAAAAAAATCCTTAAACTTGCAAGAATAGAAATATTCCAGACATTACCAAAGTCTCGTGCTAAAATTATTATTCTAAAAGAAAATAAATTGCCATGATTATTAATAAAATACTTTTGTTACTGTTCTTGGCCTTTGTAAAGCATCCAAGATGTTAGTAGTTGATAAAACTCTGCCTCTTAAGACTTTATATATATGTTTGTGTATTCATACACTCTTATTTTGAATAATTTTATAACCTGTTAAAGCATTGATTTTAATATTCAAATATTTTTTTAAAAACAAACTAGTGATGATGTACATTTTCTGACCTGTAAGACAATTCCTGATCCAACTGGTCCTTCAAGAGTCCATTTACAGTCTGAATTAGAACCATACTTATTCGGATAATTTGGAGATTGAACTGAGCCACCCGAACTTTGAAGATAGAAATGGCAAGAGTCTGAAAAAATGAAAACATAATTTAACTTATAATATACATCTTATTTTATTATTATTGAAAAAAATTGCAAATTAAAATACAGAACATTCACTTATTTCCAATAAAGTTTGAATTCTGAGAATGAATACATTATGAATATAAAGCCTTTTAACACTAATACGCATGTTTTATAGTTATGTCATTTGTACTTATAAGAAACAATTTACCTGGACAATCAGTTTCATCTGATTGATCTCCACAGTCGTCTTCACCATCACATTGCCAGTTACTACTAATACACTGTCCATTACTGCAGGCAAAAGATTCTAGATAAAAAATTCGGGTACATATTTATATATATTTGATTTTGTTTCACTGGACTAGTGGAAAGAAACACAAACACATACAGATATATATATATATATATATAACAAAAAATTCGAAAAAGGTAAAGATCAGTAACAAAAACATTTACACTATTGTTTAATTGGCAAAAAAATTAAATCTAAAGGCAAAGAAAACGGAAAACGTTTTCAGTTGAAAATGCAAAAGTACTGATCACTAATGAAAAAATGTTTTGAAGAGTTTCCTGCTAAATCATTTAAAAACAAAAATAAGAAACTAAGTAATTAAAAAAAGACCAAAGAAAACAAGGAAAGGCTGCATGTTTACAATGAAAAGTGAAACTACTACAAGCTTTGGAGACAGGGGAAAATATTAAGCTTGAAGAAAAGCGAATGATCGAAACATTGAACTATTAAATTAGTGCATTTTTTTATTTTTGTGTTAAAAACTAATTTTTGTGATTTGTTTTCAAGTATTAACCTTTCCAGTTTTTTTTTGTAATCAACGTGTTTCCTTTGGACATGAGGTTAGGCCTACGCCCCATATTTGCTTCTTTTTTTTTCTTTTAATGAATCTGCCGCTAAAGGATTCGAAAATAATTCGTAATGAATGAATTATGCATAAAAAAAGAGCAACTTTAATCACTTTCATGGATAGTTTGTTATTAAATTTACTAATAGCAGTGCTAAATGTCTGTGGATTATAAATTTAAAAAAATTACATGTACATTTAATTGTTTTCAAGTGATTCTTACTGTCCAACAGTAGGTTTCAGGTATAGGGAAAACTGCAGTCCAACTGGCTACTTAGGACTCCCTGAATGAGTGTTTTTGGTATTGCTAAACACATTTCTATACACTTGAACAATTCAATTTGGTGCGTTTCACACAGTATTGAAGTATTCGAGTAAATTATCACAAACATAAGTATTCTTGAGCTATAATTACATGGACAAGTATCATTTATATATAAATAAACGTCAATGTGTGTGTGTGTGTTTTATATATGTTATTTATCTTTTAGCATCAGAATGAGCTATGTAACCACTATTGTTAGAATTCTTGAAAACAGTATGTCTTTCTTTTCGGTATTGTTATCTTTATGTATTTTTATTGCACTTTTAATGTTTATTATGTTCAAAAAAGAAAGAAATTAAAGCCCAATTTCCTATCCTTTGTTTCAAACGACTTTTGATTTCACCCGTCCAAGAAAGGTAGGTTGTTAAAAGTTTACGTTCTAGAAATTAATACATAGTGGTCTAATTGAATATATATAAAATACTTTTTTCATTGAAACACCTTCAGTCTACATCATTGTACAATCTTAACCTTTCATACCTTTTGGGCAAGATTTCACTTGACACATAAACGGAAGTAATGCTTCGCACGGTGCTAACTGCCAACTTTGTGTATTTTCTATCAAGTGAGCAAGTACACATTGTCCTTCTTGAGGTCTTGGTTGGTTCCATGACCAAAATCCCACGTATTTCGGCAGGAAATCACTTCCAGCTGATTCTAATGTGTTCGTAGACAGGTCATCAACGGTTTTCAAGCCTAGATACAGATATTAAGAATTAAATATGCAAACCTTCATATTAGTAGTCTTTTAAAAAAATGTAGGTAACCATGAAAGATCATGACCATTGACAACAGTTGTGAGGTCTTCCTTCTGGCGACTTTTTTAAACAATAACATACTCATTTGGCGGAATAAAAACTTTTACCGCTGGTTATTTTATATAGAGCTGTTTCTTAGACAACTTGGGCTCCCAATTAATTTCATGAGAACTTAATGCAACAGTTGGTTCACACTTATTCAAATTTTATGCTTAAATAATGATCTGAATACGTTAAATCACTTGACGAGTTCGTCGAAAACTTTTCATTGAAATTCTTTATTCCTAAAGATCAGTCTTCTCTTTAATATTATAATCTAATGACCATTACTTTAAAAAGAAATCAATCACACACACACACAGTTGCACTTGGAAGTAAAATCACCTTAACATTAATCGATGTACGAACAAAATATAACTTCATTCAAATTATTTTGAAATAATATGTATGCATCTGTGCAAGTTTATTCCTTGTATGAATGTATTGCTTAATAATGTACATACCTATCCAGTAGGCAACCTGGCCCATATTTCTAAGGCCTGAAGCAGCCAAGGAGCTGGAAAAGTTGTTCTGGCCATACTCAGTAATTAGAACCAACTCACTACCGTACCTGTTAAAAAAAAAAGTTTTTTTCAGTCTTGTTTTACATCGTTTATAAAATAATTCGGTTGATTCTGACACGAAAGTCGAAAATGCATGTGCCAAAATCCGTTTCGCATCAACATCATATAGAAATTTGAATTCCGCATTTTCGACAAACCTTCGACCAAGACATTTTCCTGATAGTGCAAGGTGTTGCCATTGACACATGAAGGAAATCTTACAAAGTTCTATTTGGTGTTTGCTTTCCGTTACTTTCGGGAACTTCTATGAAAATGTCTTTGTTCTAAAAGTTATTTCAGCTGATTTTTCACTAAAAGGTTTTATGGAGTTTATGCAGAACGGCTTGGCCAAATTAAACTCCAATATATTTATATTTTCGTGTAGTTATATATTTTTTTGACTTTCTATCCATTGTTTGTTTATTGGTAAATATAAAGATATATATAATGGTTTATCTGTGGTCTGCCCACTATAAACGCGGGTTTTGAAACCCGATTTTTAGAGTTATAAGCCACAGAGCTTTACACTGAGTCACTAGAGCGATTTTCTTTGTACAACTCGAAGCTTTCTTTTATTGTTATATTATCGAAATTTAAACTTGTGGTGTATAATTAGTTGTGAATATCAATTGATTGTAGTAGTAATAATTTTCATAACTGTTTTAATAACATTTTACTCTAAAACTGTCATGAATGAAGAGGACTTCGTTTGTGAAGCTTTTAAAAAGACCCAGAGATAAGGAACCCAAGACTTCAAATGATTTGAAATATCACGAGGGTATCGATACGTTTTAATGGCATCGCCCAATTTCATGAAAAACAAACAAAAACATTTAAACTAGGCATATCACGCAGAATCATAAACTAAGACTAAATATATAGATGCTAACTGTAAAATTAAAGTTTTGTTTTTATACCGTTCGCTACTATTGGGATCATATACAGCAAATATTGTGCAATTTTACATTTCTGCCTGTTACATTACTCAGTATAAAGAACTAGGTAAATGATTTCAGCAGTAGTTTATTGCATTGACTACAACATATTTGATGGCATTTTCATCTACACTTTTTTGTGACTTGTTTGTTATTAACTAAACAAGTCATGAACCCACAAGCAGTTTAATACACAAATAGAGAATTACGTTTAAAAATTTAATGTGGTAGACCCTATCGAGAATTCTAGAATAAATCAAATGATGGCCCGGCATGGCCAGTTGGTTAGGGTGCTTGACTCGCAATATGACGGTCGCGAGTTCGAATCCCCGTCCCACCAAACATGCTCGCCTTTTCAGCCGTGGGGGCGTTATAATGTTCTGGTCAATCCCGCTATTCGTTGGTAAAAGAGTAGCCCAAGAGTTGGCGGTGAGTAATGATGTTTAGCTGCCTTTTCTCTAGTCTTTCACCGCTAAATTATGGACGGGTAGTGTAAAAAACAAAACAAAAAACTTATTACGCTTGTAATTATAAAAATGCAATCCATAAAATCAAACCGGAAAATTAGAAAGAATTGCATCTGAGTTTACCTATAAAAAATGCAATGTCCGACACTTCATATTAATCACTAAAGAAGAAAAGTAGCTTAACCTCTAAATTTAGATACGAGAATAACAAAATGTTGCTTCTTATACACAAACAGACGATAATATTTCATTAATAACTGCTTTTTTTAAATTCAATTAAGGATAGGAAATTATTTATTGCCGATTTCATTAATTTTATTGGCCAAACCAGTTAGTATATCGAATGTTCTTACTTTTAACTCTTTTATTTATATATATATATATATATATATATATA